CACACACACACACACATACACAGTCGGTCGCCGCGAAGCTTATCTCTGGTTTTCTTACAAAATCATCGCGAGACTGCAGGAACAGAGTCAAACAGCAAACATCGTGGTTGCCCCTTGCAACGTTAGGTCAAGTGACGTTAATCGGAGTCAATTCCGACCGCCGAGAATGAAGCTTCACCGTTCGTTCAACAGCTTAACAGGCGACTTGACAGATTCTTGCTTACAGGCTCGTTTACGCTTTAAAAATTATTTAATCAATCCCCGAAAACGAAATTCGCCGACGCGACACAACGACCAGCAACATACTGATTGAATAGCATTTCGTTCTCTGTCAGGTTAGCTTCTCGTAACAATTGCTCCACCTTGATAACCATCTAAATCGACTTGCCTCCATTTTCAGACCAGCTAATGGTCAGATAATGCTCATTCGCAATTTTCCACCAGCTTTTACTTTCCATCATTACTTTGTTCATCGAGAAACAACTATTCTGTCACGATTGTAATATCGCTTGATTATCTTCGCTGTTTTCACCTTTATTATCCATCCCCCCCCCCTCCCGTCAGAGATATCTATCGTTGTCCTCGCATTATAGTTATTGTACAGGGTGTCCCGAATTTAAGTGAATCAAAACGTGTAGAAAATTGATGAACTTTCTGTGAAAGAAAATCCTTTGGAGATTTGCTCTATTTTAGAATAGAAATTACAAGCAGGAAAGTTATTGTTCTCTCGCTCGTTCGATCGAATTATGGTTCTGTCATCGAATATTATTAGAACAGTCTAGTTGCAGTGATTACAGTGATCAACGTTCAATCTAATGCTTGCATTGCTAGCATTTCGAACTGTATCTTCATCAAATAGATGGCATTATAAGTGTAAATAAATAAATAAATAAAAAAAAAAACGGGAACATTCTTGTTTCTTCTTTCGTGATTTTCTCCAAAATGGAGCAAAAAACGAGCAAATCTCTGAGGAACATTTTTTCTTAACTTATGCGGGGAAATCTTGTTGCTTGGAGTTTCTTCGTGCGCGACCTAAGAGCCTGCTGCGTGTCTCATGCGATTGTCGCAAGCTTGGCCTCTCGAGTAAAATATGAGAATATGGTTGCTTGGTTTAGAGGGTAAGATTTCAGGTAGAGAGTATCGAATCGTAACAGTGTGATTCTTGAGAGACCTTAGTCTCTCTTTGTCATCGCCGTATTCGGCGATTTCTTTTCGGTATTCCTACATTAATACTTATCTTAGACCACTTGGTGGTCAAACTTTGTTTTGTTTCTTTTCTTCCTATCGGTCTCGAAATCGGGACACTCTGTAGAAGTAATTATCGAACTCGTCTTGGTTCGAGAAGAGTCGAAAGAACGGTAAGGATTTCGTCTTTATGACGAAAGATAAAGTTCTCCAAACGTTCTCCAACGTGCTGCTCCCGTGAAAACTCTCGACAATTGGACAATCTGAACGTGTCAACCACCTAATCCTCGAAATCCTCGTGCAACCGTGCAGCCGAAGAAGACGGCAGTTCTTCAAAGTGGGAGGCTAGCCCCACCATCGTCTGTAGAAAGAGGACGAGCCCGAGAACAGTTTAACACCGGTTGTCGGCCCGTCGAGTGCTCGTCTCTCGAGCTGGTTGCTCGGTAGAGAAAACACAGAGAACCAACGTGCAATTTCTATTTACTTGTCTTTCATTCGTCACCGTGTTATCGCAGACTAGCGACGGTCGTTGCAGCCGTCAACGTATTTTTACGTCATGGACTCGTAGCCAGCGCGGAAAAGCGACCTTCAGACCTGGACGTTTTAAAACTCTTCGATCGAGCCAGTCAATTGCCGAGGAAATTGGTAAATTGATCGCCGAGGAAGCTCTTCGGCAAGCTGGATCGTCAAGGACGAGAATAGTACGCCTCCTTCGAGGAAACCAGTTTACCAATTCCGCGAAAGATCGGGCTGGAAAAACCGGCGGGATGACGGCGATTCGCGGAATAGCGTCGTGCATCTGCCTGACAGTGTTCGTCGTTAGCCACGTGGCTGCTGTCGCATCTCGGCCACACATTGTATTCATATTGGCCGACGACCTGGTAAGCTGACCAATTTCTTTCTTCGTTCAGACGTTGCTGTTGCAAGCTTTGTCTGTTTCAAATTCTCTTTTGCCTTCTTGCGCGTGTAAACGAGCTATTTAGGAGCCACGCTGATCGACCCCGTAAATTAAAGATTAAGGATACAGTGGATGGACGATGCTACGGTCTTAAACGAAAACGGTCTCTCTGGAAAATTTGAGCTTACGATCATCATTATTGTCATTATTAATTTGTTATCTTAAAAGTCTCCCTCGAATTTATGGTTCGAACAAACTTGTTGCTTTAATAAACTCGGTATAGTCACTCGTTAACACAAGTTTACAAGAGCAAATTGAGAAATTGTCAGAAGAAAATCAGAAAATCAATCAATTTGGCTCCTAAGAACGTTACATCGAAGTTCGATAGTTCCAGTGTTAAAAAATATATTGATTTACTTATCCAAAGGAAGAGCATAACCAATGACAATGAGAAATTGTCGATAACTTAAGTTGATATAACTTTGTAAAAAGAAAGAGATCATGCAGCGACCCATCCGGTCTCATTTTAAAACATAAAGCTTCTATTTTGAGCTCGCTTTCTTCAGAAATGATTTTACATGAAGTAATGGATAGAAGAGCGAGGATATTTTTCCCCTCGAAAATTATCAAAGTTCAAACGCGTGTAAAAACGTTAAAAAATTGTTTTTGTACCTAGGTTCATCATCGTTTTAAGGATTGAAGTCTCTCTTTTACAACAATCCCTTTGTTGCACGATTTTTTTTTTATTTTATTGAACTTTGAATGTTAAGGTTATACGGTTTCCGCCTAATATTCAAAATTCAATGAAACAGCGGGAAAAAAATCGTAAATCAAGTTTTCAGGAGGGTGTTTCAGTCTTCAAATCCATTGTAGATTCAATTGCGAAAAAAAGTTGTTTCTACGTATAATTTTTGTTTGTTTGTTCCCCGATTTTCCAGGAAGAAAAGTGTTTTCACTTTCTCATCCACTGCGCGATGCGAAAACACCTTACAATTAGAATAAAATGAATGGCGTATTTTGAAAGTAGAGACTTCAAGTCTATCCTTCAATCATAACGAAATTCTGAATAGAATGATTAAACGATTATCTGTTTCTAACAAACGAAATTGAATTAAATTTAAATAATTATTTATACAACGATTACTTTCACAATTGTTGAATTCTGATCTATTTTCTAAAATAAGTGTATTTTCCAGAGTATTCTAGAAGAGTGTGCAGTTTTTGAAAAAATCGACCCACATTTATTCTCGTACGATGCTTCGAATATTAATGCTTAACTAGTAACTCTATGTGGGATCTCTATGTCTCAACTATCTCTGTTAAAAGTCGAAAGTCATTTGTCAAGCCATCTCGCGATCAGATCAGACGCGCCTTGAGAGTTCGAATTAACATGGCTTGAATAGAAATCAGCGCTCTGATGTCTATATCGGTATCGAGTATCGTTCGAGTAACCCAATGATTATCCTAATTAACGCGACTAATTGAATCCGTTGAATAGGGATGGAACGACGTGGGATTTCACGGCTCGGGACAGATCCCGACGCCGAATATCGACGCCCTGGCGTACTCGGGGTTGCTGTTGGACCGGTATTACGTCACTCCGATTTGCACACCGTCCAGGAGCGCTCTGATGACCGGCAAGCATCCCATTCACACAGGAATGCAGCACGGGGTACGCTGCACCGTCATTAACTATTTAAGCGTGCAATCGGCTTGGTAAATAAAACGACGCTTGCTATTAAGGAGGACTTGACAGGCGCGAGCATTAATTCGGCCGTGGTTCGTTGCGCTCCGACAATGCTAGTTACGTTCTATAGGGAGATTAAAACACATTGTGCCGCTGCGATTCTTGAGCCGGAACT